AAGCAGCCCCCCAAATGAGACGGTCGCGAGACGTGACTTGAGGAAGGGAGATTACCCCGAGATGAGCCCAGCGGGGTTGGGAGCTTCCATTGTCCACAGTGGAGCAGCACATGTTGGATGCGATAGCGAAAATGCAAGAAAAACCTCACAGTCCGGTACCCTCCTCTGGAGCGCTCCTTGCAGAACGGTGACGCGGTCGAGCGGACAAGCGTGACGAACCGCCTTGAAATCTATTCGAGACACCCAATTGCGGACACCCTTACGCAATGGAGGGGGAACTCGCTCATCCTGGGCTCTGGCATGTCACTTCCGTATGGGAGATTATCCTCTCGGGGAGGAGAAGCTCTCACGGATTCGCACTTTCCGCAGTTTCTAACAAGGGGCGGACGGGAGACTGGGAGGAAGCTCCGGGAAGCTGGTTGAGGATGGAAATGATTTTCGATCACGGTCATCATTTATTCATTTTCCCGAAAAACACAATGCGAAAGAACTGCTGGTCGAACTATTCTGTCAAATGATGCGCAAGCTGCTCCTCTTTTTCATTCGGGTTTTCCGACGTCACGGAAGGCTCATTCCCGAGATCCCGTCACAATAGGTCTCGTCGGAGGTAGCTCCTGGATCACGTGTACACTTCAAACCACCACAGCATCGAAGCCGGTTGTTGCAGCGTTGCTTAAACAATTAAAGTGTTATTTTGAGGTTTTCTGAGTGGAGGGTTCCGCGTCCATCTGTTGATCTCGGAATATCGGCTAGATAGGAGCAAGAATATGGAAACGATAATTCTCACCAGATGACTTCGACACGTGTGCTCGCGTCGACCACAGCCCATAGAATGACTAGACAGATGAAACAAGCAGAAATTGAAGACAGCACTTTCATGGTTGGCGGCTGTTTCAATGAGCGGTTGCATTCGGACTGCCTCAAACGGAACAAATCGTGGATCGTGGCACGGGCGACATTGTTGAGAGAGAACCCTCCCGATGCGGGATCTTGGCTCACGCTCTCGATGCGGGATCTCGGCTCAAAGATATACCTCTTCTAATAATTGCCACATGTTCCTAATTTTATATAGGGCCACGAGTTTCGTCGCACAAAGAGGCTCGGGTTATGCACGAGAACCGTTCTGCCATAAGCTGCCTGCATGCGGCAGAATTCGACGAGTTTTTCCTGGTTACTTTCGCTGATATCGGCGACAAGAACGCGGAGGATCATTTCTGCTGAGCGACCCACGTCGACACTTCCTCTTGTGAGGGCATGATGGCGACCGACATTTGACATTTTCCAATCACGTCCCAAGCTCTCAACAGGCAGAACTCAGGCGGCAGGTTCAATCTCCGGAACTGCACTGCGGGTGGTTGAATCGCCAGCGAATCTCCTCTTGTGGAGAAATCCGACGAGTTCGGTGATAGACATAGTCGGAGCAACATCGCTAAGCTTTCCATGCTTGATCGATTTCCGTATCGTACTCTGGGAACACAGCGACAAGATTGAGCAGTCATGTCTGCTGTGTTGAGACTAATTATCGCTCGAAAACGAAAACGAACTTCAATGATTCAATTAACAAGTCTCTCACGATCCATGACTGAACGAATCTCTCCTGAGCTTTCGAACCTCCGAAAGGCAGGTTCTCCCATCGTTGTTTGTATTCGGCCGTATCTGAGCGGTTTAGTGCGCTTTCTTATCCTGGTGTGAGCAAGAATCTCGAGGCAGAATGAAGTGAGCGGGTAGATTACAATTATGGGCTTGTCAAGGTTTGGCTATGCTTATTTTCGAAAGCGATCGATGTACCGCGCTCAAGTTCTCACTTGCTCACGGAACTCACGTCACGCGGTGCCAGCTAATCGATTGCTTATCGTCTCGCGACTCAATGGCGAGCGAACTACCAATAAAGTCGACGGATTTACGGACCCACAGATAGATATTTGTGCGCGAGAAGTCAATCGGTAGACACCGAGGCGCCCGTTGTGTGTACATGAACACTTCGGCACCTCATCAAAAGCTCCCACACCTCGACGAGACGAGGCGGCGTCGAAGGAGATGCTAACCACCCGCTCGTTGCCGCCGAAGCATGTATCCGAGTGTTGACCGAATTCTGCCCCGTCGCGTCCGAGCGCTCCCCCAAGATACACGAACGCACACTTTGTTCTCGCGTCCGCTTTTTTTCCACCAAAATTTTTCTCGTCTGCCCGACCTGAGCTTGACGTGAAAATTAATAAGAAGGCGATGAGCTTCGGTAGTGTCTTGCTGGGAGTCGCGGCGACGAGAATGGGTGCGTTCTCGCTTTCCGACCCTCCGAGGGAGTGATGGGGGTTCTGAGAATTTTATGGAGACTCTTGCTGGAAAAGTCTCCATCTCCAAGGCTAGCTGAGAAATATCTCTCATTGTACGGGAGAAGGAGATGTGCTTCCCTGCTGGAAACCTTATTGGTCCCACCATGATTGAAATTCCCCGATGAGTTTCCTCCAGTGCTTCAAATCTTTCCTCGACGCTCTGAGAGGCTCATCCGCCATACTCAAACTTGCGCTGACTCGGAACGTCTCGACATAGAGCCTAAGGCAGTGATTGCAATCAGAACTTGGGCCGATTAGAGAAAGCAAATGAACTATGCGGGCAGTCTTCTGCCGTAGGCACCAACTGCCGATTCCGCTCCCTGTTGAAGATCCTCAGTTTGCTCCCGGACAGAGCGCGACGGCTCTCCACCGGGAGCTGTTGGCGATTTCTCTGTTCGAGTTTCCCAGCGCCACATCGTTTCCCACATGAGTGAGATCAACAGATTCGCCTATTCAGATGCTTAAGCTCGAGGAAAATGTATTTCACAGAAAGACCGAAATAAGGTCCTGAACTTGAATCCGGGTCCGAGTCCGATTGATTGATCCGAGACGAATCCACATACAGTGCCGCCTGCCGCTAGAATCCTTTCTTCTGCCCGGATCAATGACAATGTTCGGACTTTTACAGAGCCCCGGAGAACGCCTCGCTGTAGGGAGAAACATCGATACTTTCTCGCTCGGCGCCTCTCAATGTTCGGGAGAACTCAGAGGCCGAAGCGCTTCCGCGCTTTCCAGCGGAGTCCATCTATCTATTGTCTTGACGCGCAAGATCATCAGGTCAGGCGAAGCCCGAACGCTGAATGGAAGGTAGATTGCTGATGCCGAATCCGGAACCTTTCAGCCCTCGAAAAGGAAAACTCTCGTGATTGTCCTCCGCTCCGGCAAAGTCTCCACTCGGGAGCCTTGGCTAGGAGCGGGGTCGAAAACGTGAATCCTCACCATTCGACTCGTCCTGGTCGAGGTGGAGGACGCATCTTGCCCGCGCAGAGAATCGAGGATTCGGTCTTCCGGAGCATAACTTTATTGAGGGAGCACCACTGAACGGCTTCCTCGAAGAGGCTTGACATGAAGGGGAGCATAGACCTGCTGGGCGATACTCGTCAGCGAATAGACGTCTCATGAATCTTGAGTCGTGACCCACATGAGCAGAACATGTGAGCTTGTCGCAGAGGAATATTTACTTCTCGAGATTGGCGATTATGTCGACTTTCTCCCCGGGTCGCGTGCTCACAGAAGTCGGCAGGGGAAACTACAAACTTGAGGCTGTTCCCGTGACTCCCGTCGAAACAATTGCAGCTGCATCCAAAGGGAGCCCGTGGGCAGCGGTGCGTCCACATTGAGAGCTGTGGAGTACGCGAGAGATGTCAGCAAGTTGTCGCTTGACGGAACTAAGACGTATAACGGTTGCTAATCAAGCTAATGGAGCGGCTCCTTCCCCAGAATCTGAGGGGGTAGGAGCTGTCTGATAGAATATTGAATGTCTCGGAAAAAATCGAGCTCAAAGCGTTTCCGCGTTGAAAATTTCCCGCCCATTGTACCGCTCCCGATGCGAGAAGTTTTCTTCCCCTCGCTCATACCACAGGGGCGGCTGAAGAGGGAGGCTGCTGGAGCGCTTTGCTCTCTCGTGCGATTCCGACTCATGCCCGAAGCCTAGGTCTCAATAATTGAGAATCCTGATTTCCCCACGAGAAATTTCAGCCGGCCCCGCATGTCCACCAACCGCTCTGAACACCTGGGAATGGAGCCGGCGAACTGCCCGAGGTAATACTTGCACGATCGAAAGGACCCGAAAGGTTCCTTGCTCGGACAGATTTCATAATCACCCGGCTCGACGCACACGATACCCTATCTCGGACGTTCTCTGTGATCAAACCAGGCGTTGTCCATTGTCATCGATTCTCTCGTCCGCAATCCCCGTAGGGAGCTCTTTTGCAAATTCCGGAAAACTGGGGGGCAATGCGGGCTTACGCGCGGAATCCTTCTGCCGCGGAGCTGGTCCGATTGATGCGAACTGACACGCAAATGAAAGGAAGTGGCAAGCAGTCCGCCAGCAGAAGACGCGCCCAATGCCGCACAAGTAGCATCCCAATCCCAGCGACTCCGTAACATGTAGCTCCTTGTCTTTGCATGTGCTCCCTTGAGAAACGGTTACGCTCGAGAGAAGTCCGTCGGCGGTCGGTCAATGACCCAGGTGCCACCTGTTCGGGTATATTCTTCACGAAATAATCTTCATGGAAAGGAAAAGCTCCCCGCTCAAGGTGCACAGGGGGAATCCACGAGCTCTGGAGCCCTAGGTGGACCAAACACCCAACCACCCCAGATAGAGCACAGTGTGGTATCGTGATGCTTCAAGAACCCTCTCCCGAGCGACAGCAGTGCTCGTTTAGCTTGTCAGTTGTTGGTAACGCTTAACGAACCGGTGGCGCATGCTCAGCTGTCGCCGCCATTTTGAATGCTTCCAGTGTTGTGTTGGTGTGGTGGTGTGTGTCTGTCGCGGCCGCTGTGTGTATCTTTGTCGCTTTGAATGAACGTGAATGCGGTTCTCGCACTTGTGAAAAACCCCACCGCGGTCCCGTAATGCTCACCCGTGGCTAGCCCACCCATTGGAAGGAGACTCTTGGGCGGCGGGATCAAGCGAAAAAGAAGTTTCGAATCGATCCCATCGTCAACATGAACGGATTCTCTCCCATAGACCTCCTGCAGTTGACGATGGTTTCTCAGGACGACGATCGGCCGGCTTCGAAGGAACACGAAGAACCTAACGAGGGCGAGCCCTACTATTGTCCGTTATGCAGTTTCTCCACCCATAGGCCAGGCCTACTGTTGCGGCATACGTTCGAACACACCGGAGTGCAACCGTACTCATGTTGGAAGTGCAACCAACGCTTCACGCTTCCAGAAACGCTCGTAGACCATTTCATATCTGAACACAGCATCAAGGGCCAGCCACTGAAGTGCTCGACGTGTCGTAAGACCTTTTCGACCCGCAGAGGATTGATCCAGCACCAGCTGCAATACACCATTGAGAAGTCACGCTTCTGCTACTACTGTGCCAAAGGCTTCGGCTCGGACTCCGCAGAGAAAGAACACCAGAGATCACATTCGCCGGGAGTCGCCGAATGCTGGATGAGATGTCCCGCATGCCGAAAATCTTTTCCCAACGAAGACGCGCTTAGAATTCACTCGGTGTTCCATTTGAAACTCTCGGCCGACAGATTTATCGCGCCCGACCCGGGAATGGCGCTCGCGAACCACGCGAGGAAGTACTTCCAAGCGCGAAAGCACTCGCAAAGTTCCTCGCTGAAACGTCGCCGTCCACGTAAGAAGTATTCCTGTGAGCACTGCGACAAGGTCTATGTTTCGAAAATGACTCTCAGATGGCACGAACGGCACCATAGACTGCCGTTCTCGTGCCGCGCGTGCACCCGTTCGTACTCGACGCTGTGCGCCCTGCTGGCGCACGCAGCCGATCATGACACGATCTCATCCATCGAAGAGGAGCAATTACGTTTCCAGGAAAAGATCGAGAAAAAGACAGGATTAGGAGGTGTTAACACGGCAACACCGATCGGGGGATTGGGGGCGCTCCAGCATCATCCCTCCATCGCGGGACTGTCGGCTTCACTCGGTGTGCCTCCTGTTGAACGTCATGAGTGTCCTACATGTGGTAAGGCATTCGGGTCTGCCAACAGCCTGCGGGCGCACAAGAAATCTCACACGACAGGGAAAACGCCTCACAAATGCCCTACTTGCGGCAAACAGTTCGTGCGGTCTTACGACATGAAACGACATATGCGCACCCACGATAGCTCGGCTCCGTACATCTGTCAGATCTGTCAGCAGAAATTCTCTCAGAGTTCTTCGCTGAAGAAACACTACAAGACCCATCGCATCCATTGTCCTCTCTGCCTGAAGCAATTCGACCTACCCGAGCAGCTCCAACAGCACGTCTCTCAATGCCCGGCTCAGCAAGCTCAACAAAGTCTTCTGGCCGCCGCGATCTCCAACATGAACAATATCGGAGGACTGAACGGAATGCCGCCCGAAGCTCTCGCGGGTCTCATGCAAGCGGCCCAGGGTATCATGTCCCAACCGTCCACGAGTCAACCTCCCGCAGCGGACAAGTGGGCTTTCAAAGAGTGAAAAGGCACGAGGCTTACTCGTTACTCGCTCGCTTCCAGCTAGCGTATCGATCACATTGGAGCACGGCTCGGAGGCAATTCTCTGCTTATCCATGTGGTCTTGGATAATGACATCAGATGGGGAACTCGGTACGAGGAACTTAGTTCATTCAGTTGAACCATGCCTCGGGCATATCATGTCGAATCTCATCTGACTGGGGCAGCCTTGCCGGAGGGCGAAGTACTTTTCTGTATATATCTAAAACTCGGAGGTATAAACGGATTGTCGTAGGTTCGAGTCATTAAGAACGATATGAGAGAATCGGGTAGAGCATTATTTGTAAGTTATATACCAATAGCGTAGACTTGTGACGGAAGATTATCCGCATCATCATATGGTAGCGTGAATCGTCAGAAGGGACTAGGTTCTGACGTAGAGCTGTATCTTCGTGATTTGTCAACCTCTCAAAGGTTCCTGTCTGTGTATATTAAATGCGGAACAACTCTCGACGGTCATACAGAGTCGGAAGCCGTTTCCCGCCTCCTAGTATTATGGACTTTTAGGTTCTATGCATTCAGTGTGTCGCGGTGTACTTCCCCGAGGGGAGACGGCTCTCATCGCAGGAAATCAAAATAAACTATTCTTTAATATTTATCATAGAGATTGTGTCTTGTTTTCCGAGGGGAGACATTCGAGTGCCCTCCGGTATCACCGTGGAATCCCTCGCTTCGGACTTTTCGGCAGACTGACGGTGCGGCGCAGGTGGGTTCGGCCGGGTAGGGCAAAAAGAACTGCTCTCTTGCAAAACTGTAGTTTATTCGCTCCTATTTCCATCAGAAGGCCCGACTCGAAAGCTTATTCTCCTAAATATCATCGCTTCGGAAATCAGCACTCCAGGTCAGATGCTTCGACCCTCAGATGACCTGTTCAACCGTTTGTCGGGCCGTCTCGTAAATGCCCAAAAATATGAAACCTCCGAGCGCGAGCGAGACACTTCTGGCCGACAAGCCGGCGAGCACGCTGTAATTTAAAAACTGGTCGCTCGCTTCGAGTTCGTCACCTAGATCTCGACTATCCCAGAACGATTCCTAATAAAACCTTGCGCGTCCCGTAATCAGACTTGTCGCGTAACCAGATCGACTATTGAAGATACTAACCCATCAAAACCGTTGAACTCCCAAGCTTCTTTAAGAGCTTTCCTCACAGTAAGATTCGCTTCCTTGTGCAACATTATTCTAGTCTTCGCGACGTCGAGAGGAGTTGTGACGAACCCTGCGATGCCTCCTGCCATGGCTCCACAAAAAGCGGCTTCGATCGGAAGTAGCTCTCGCTGTCTGTCGTATCGCAAGTCATTCTGAAATTTAGTGAATCCGTTCCTCATCGTATCCGGACGGCTGTCTCCCGCAAATCTCTAGGCTCCATCCTCCGGATCCGGGCATGTGTATGACTCGGATCGCAAGATCACACGCGCGAAGATACTGACCTTGAACCACTCCCAGAGAGGGAATTGTATCACCGAAAAAGGTATCTCTCGGAGAACTGTGCTACCGTAGCCTCGATACAGACCCCGCCTCCCCTCGTACTTCAAGGTATTCCGAAACGTTATCCATGAGGAAACGCTCTGCCGTGCTTGGGTTCTCTGTTTGACAACCTCGACTGGAACTCGGACCGAACACGCGACGACCTCACCGATTGAGGCCGCGGTCATATGGACGAGTGGATCCCAGGCAGTCTGAGTTTCTAGCAAACGTTTGCTCAGATCGTAGGCCACAAAGAATGCAGCCGCTGGAATAGATCAGGAGGAAACATTATTCTTCCGATGCACGTTCAGAGTCTCAGTCAGCCCAGTGAAAAGAATGGACTATATCCGTTTCTAGTATGGACTTGCTGACAGAAAACCTCGAAACTCACCCCCTGGCGCCGCTCCTAAGAGTACGGATGCGGATCCCGCATAAAGATTGTGGACACCACCTGATCTGAGGAAGCCACTCGGGCTTTGCATACGAGTCTTTATCGTATCGAGGGGGAATATTAGTAGGTCCACGCTGAGTCCAGCGCACGCGCCGGACTAGAAGGAATTCCACCGTCAGAGCTCAGCAGTTATCTTTGGATCCAAGAGGGCTAGACTTCGAATCAGGAATTTGAGAGTACTCACCACCAGCGATACAAGAAAGTTTCTATCCCAACCGGACCGCACGACATTATTCTCGGGCTGCATCCTCGAGGGCTCGAATCAGCTCTCAGCTTCGTCAAAAGACTGACAGGCTCCCGTAGGAGGAAATTTCCTCGGTCCCCCGCTGACTGATGGATAGCTTCTTACCTCGATGGAAATTCACTTCCGGAAGGCTTCTGGAAGCTCGAATGTCGGAGCTGTGCCTGTCGAATATGAAACGAGATCTTACGGGCTCTTCGAGCGTTTCGGGAGATTCGTTCATTTAATCACGAGCACAGTACTCGAGAATATCCTGATTCGAACCTGAGCAAGAACGACCAAGAACTTCGATCTGATCTCGACCGAGTCCGGCAGCGATACATCCAGATCATTGCTTTCAAGCTCAGTTTCGGATCAGTGAATATTCTACTGATCGGGTCTACTCATGTGCCTCACCTGCTTCCCTGGTGCGTCTCCGTAGACTTGCTCACCGTCAAATTCTAAGTTTCGAAGACTTCCGCGCACCGCATTGTGTATTGAGGCAACTCGTGAGGGCGCCGCCATGACAGTTTTCGAAACGTCCCGCGCTCCCGGCCTCCGTAGGCCGTCTGCTGTGTTCTTTCGAAACATCAAGAGCGGTTATTGCTCGAATCTCGGTGATTCCTGAAAGTTTCCGCCGGCTCGCCTATGATCCTTTGTCCACGTCGATTGCAGTTATGAGGTGAGCGCCTCCTCTCACGAAGCGGACACCCATATCCCGAACATATAAATGGGCACCCCGTGCACTCTCTGTCAGATGGTGCTCGTACCGTAGACAGATAATGATTGGAGGCTACTTCGAAACTTCGAATGGGGATCCAGGCGGTCTTTGAGAATTCGAGCAATGTTTGAAAATCATGCTGTTCTCTGAGAATCGATGAGCCCTCCACTGATACCCGTCGTTCGACAAATATATGCTTCTCCATATTCCAGTGCTCAATATGCCGCCCGCATCCTGGAGCTGTTGAAACAACTTCAATATCCCGGCGCAGATCATTTCACGGAGCGTGACATCGAGATTCTTGCTCAGCACCCGATTGTGAAAGCAGTCATGATAAAGGTTCGACTACCCCTCCAGCTGCTTGTCGAAGTTATGCATATGAACATGAGGATACTCGTGTGCTTGATTCCCATTTCGGGTTAAGATGATCGGAATAGTAGGACCCACTCTATTGAAGCGGTGCCTCTTTTCAGTTCGCGAACCTCCACCCGGATCAGTTTTTGTCCAAAGAACAAGTTGACGTGTGAGCAAAACGGCAGCGACGTTAAACAACCGGTTTCTTCAGGGAGAACCTAGCCCTTCTTTCCGTGGGCAGGATCCCGCAATTTTCATTCTGATGTATTTTCAAGCAAACTGTCTTCATTCTTGCAGATTACGCTTGGCCGGCGAGCTAAACGATCCGACTTTCTTACCTCTGGATCCTGTAGAGATTCGCAGGCAGACCGCGGATCTCCGGAAAACGGAGCGAGAGCGCAAACGCTTGAGGTGAACGTCGAAGTTATGCTCGCTCGTATCGTGTGTGTTCGGCGCTTCAGCTCCGCATCGTCATCGCTCTTGGAGCGCATTGGCGCTCGCCCCTTTATCCAGCGACTTGATTCCTATATTTTTACAGGATGCAGGAGCGTCACCGGCGTGAGGAGCTCAATGAACTCGGGAAATCAATCAGTCTACTCGAAGAAGACGGGAAGTTGAGGGAATCTGTCCGACAGGCACATGAGCGAACGGCCGCTGCACTCGAGGTCCAGGCCAAGAGAGCAGAAGCTTCACTGAAAGCGGCACAGCAGGACCTGCAGGCTTCTACGTCGATGGTGAGCAGCTTCGATGATACGGTCATTTCGGTAGATTCGCGAGCCGCCAGCTCGTGCATGGATGGGACAATGTCTGGGATCATGAAGCCCTCCTTCAACCAAAAGCCAGGCATGAATTCCAGAGGGGTAATTCATTCCAGTTCAAATTAGAAGTACAACAGACCCTGAAAGACATGAAGATAACTGTGGAGAAAGTCAAAAGGCCGGGAGGGCTGAGGTCTCTATTCGATAGCGAGTCCTACATCGCATTCGCGTGAGTCTCCTTTTCAATCCTAAATCCCACGGAGCTAATGAATACGTTCTCGCTGTTCATCAGGCGACGGTACTTGAGTAGCTCGACGATTTTTCTTCAAGGAACGAGATTGTCGACATCACTGAAACCGCTCATGGGATGATCTCCCAACCAGAAGCTCTGCCCCAGAAATACGCGATACTCGTCGGAGAAAAGAAAATTGCACTCATCAGGACTTTGGAGCACACGATAGACAGGTGTGTTCAATCAAGAGCACCGAGAGAACGTCCGACAATGGGACTGACTCTCCCTGAGAGTCGTGAGCGGAGCCTTTACTAGGGGGAGGAAAAATCGAGAGAAAGCTCACAGAGGAACTTCCTTGCAGCTTGAATGAGTCTTGTGAGACGGTATTGGAATCCTTGCGACCGCTGTGTCAAAACTCGTATACGTTCGCCAAATTAACTGAGACCTTGGATGTGTACAAAACGAGTCTGAAGAATTCCATCAACTTCGTGATCAATCAGCTCTACGATACGGCTGCGATGATAAATAAAGGACAGCTGGAAAAGGTCACAATTCTGGGAGGATTTAACCCAGGCTCCCATGCAGAAGCGGGATATATGCAACGAGTGTTCCTAGCAATGTGTTTCAATCCCGAGCCGCACTCCTAATCTCCAGGAATAATGTCGATGGAATATTCCCTCTTCAGATGTTGCCGATACTGAGAAACCTGGAGCAGGTGATTTTCGCTCATAAAAGCGTTCTGTCGGAAGAGAGCAAATTCCTTGAGGAGACGCTGGATATGATTCGTTGTGTTCACGAATGGAAACAAGCCCTGCTCCCCGCATCTAGTGAACTATCGGTAGGAAATATCTGATCTCGGAACCTCACTGAGGTCCCAGAGCGTGCTCCCGCATATTTATCGGAATTCTCTTGAGTTCATACGTCGATCGTGATCTTCGAGACGTATACTGTATACGTCTCGAAGTTCCCCTATGAGCTCCCTCCCGCTTCCGAATCTCTTCTGATGCCGGTTAAGAGCTCCATCATTCATGTTTACAGTATCTTGCGCTCGACAGTAAGCTGCCATCTCCATCTCGTTTTGAGACTTTGCGAGGGACTATATCCGACCTCATCCCGTGTTTTTTCCATTGCAGTGCGCCTCGGTTCTTCGCACGACGTTTCAGTCCAATGCTACGATGTCGAATGATATGACGTTCTACCCCAGTCCTGGTAATGGCCATATTCAAGCCTCGCGACTCACATCATCATCGTGAGACTTATCGTTCCTCTTCACGAAGAGGTCTTGTTTAAAGCATACTTAAGTCCTGCCCCTTTTCAAGGTCTGTCGTCCACAATGTTCGAGCACCACAGTCAAGTGCAATCTTCCATGAACTCGACAGCGTTCTGCCAAAAAAGCTTACTCCCGGCTGTGTGCAACCCGAAAGGATTGCATCAATGTAGCTACTTCGAAGAGATTCTTGACTCTATATCACGGGATCGCGCGCTATTCCACAAGATGTACGTATCATCATCCACTTGAGTGCGATTTCCAGTTGAGGAAATCGCTTAATATTTTGTGTATACGGCTCCTTTGTCCCTCGGGAAAGAGTTTCCGTGTCTCAATCGCGCCACTCCGGAGGTTTCTCTAATGCAAACGAGGCAGTGCCGATAACTCAAGATGGTCGTTCTCCGAATTTCACAAGCTCGAGCCTAGACTGACGTGGACTCAATTATTCAAGTTGTACCGCTCCATCGAATTATGTATCGGTGGTATTGCCAGTACGGAATGTCAACAGACACCGATTTGATTCTCCATGCAGCCAATAGTCTAACCATATTCCAGGAAGAGACTTGCAAACATCTCTCTCATTTCATTACACCAACCTTCCAGAACGGATCAATTCGATTCGGATCGCAGCGTACTGTGCGGAACTTCCGGAATCCAGTTCCTGTCGGAAAGTGATCGAACACAATTGATGGCTCTCTCTCAGCGAACTATCAGCAAGAAAGCGGAGTTGAAAAAACTCATCCAGACTCACGAAGCTCTGGTGAAAGTACGTGTTTCAAAGAGAGAAGCACTTCATTCCACGAATGACTTGTCCCTGAATGGTGAAATCCTCTGAATCGGATGGAATTCTTCCGTTCAAAAAAAAGCACATCCCCCTCCGGGAGCGCTTTCTTCGATGCCTTCACCACGATGGAGCACCAACTCTCATGCTAACCCCTTTCTCGAGTTCCGTTGTCCTGATTCCGAAGAAGCTGAGAATTCGAACGATCAATGAACGACTACGAGCTAGAGGATCTGACCCACCGCTCCATCTAATTACCCATCTAATCATTTTCAGGATGCGCGAAACCAAAACCAAGCGCACTTCAAACGGCTGCTGTTACCACTCTACGTCCTTGACCGTCAAAAATATGAGGATACAATGCGGAGTATAGGGCTCGTTGTGAACATCTTTCAATAATGATTGAGAGATGCATTATGATGCATGACTGGACTACTTTGAAGTGGCAATGATTCCAGCGAGTGATACGGTGATTAAATAGTCTGTTGTCGATATACGATTATTTTCCTCGTCTCCATATAGGTGCATGTACGGTGCATGGCTACGGATCGTCTCAGGTCAGAGGGGATAGAGCTGCGATTTCCTGCTCTAAACAACGCCGACGCTGACAAATCGGCGATTGCCTTGGCCGGGTTGAATATCTGATTCATATTGAAGGGACCGGCATCGCTCGCGAGCGCCAATTGTAACGTACACGCGTAGATATATGGTGACGGTACTTTTGAGGGTATATGATTCAAGATCCGTGCACGACCATGCGAGCTGCATTCATCGGGGCCGAAGGGTCACCACTACGAACGAGGAGCTCAGTGGGAGCTCGGTCTTGCTCATCCGACTTCCGTACTCTCCGTGCCTTGAGGCTCTTAGGTATAGAATATCTGAGGAGAGGGGGATAATCAAGTCTGAGTCAATGCTTGGCGCTGAATCTTATCCCTCGGCTCTTGAGCGTGAAGACTCTGTGGTTGGGGAATGACTCTGGAAGAAGTTTCGAGAAGAGCGTAGATTTTCAACGATAAAACGAAAACGGGGCGACGAAAAAAATGTCTCCCCGAGTGAGGTATGCGGCCGAAAAAGATTACTCACAAGTCGACGTCTCGAACCCGCTGAGGTGTTTTCCACGGGGAATCGAGAAAAGGAGGTGGTGTAAATAAATATCTCCATTTCCTTGATTTGATTTGATCCGTGCGAGAGAGACGAGCGTTTCCGGATGACCCCTGGAAAAGTTTGAGTGTCGATTGGATGCTTTTCTTCAATCGATGAAGTCTTTGCTGACTCCTCGCTCCCGATTAGCTCAGGTCGTTGGGCTCGGTATTTCGCCAAAACCTTCACGAAATTCGGGTCGTGGGAGCATGTACAGATGTTTGACTTTCGAACATCTTGCAGTTCAACGAATACTCTGACAGGTGTTCTCGGTTTTCGAGGAGGTAGCGAAGTTCTCCTCACCGTTCCGTCGCTCTTGTTCCCGATGCGCTACAGACCCGCTTTGAGATCTGCCGATCCTACACTCTGGAGTCCTCTGGGGCTGCGAGCTGTCTTTGATAGGGATTTTCGAAATAAGGGAACCTCGTGAAGGATGCGGGATAATTGTAAACTGCACTCTGATGTAAGGGTCCGAGATGATGGTCACGTGCTCTGAGCTCCAGTGCGGGATCTGGAGGATTTCGACGAGGTTGCGAAAATTAGGTGCGTTCTATGCCGGAGGGACGTATCTTCCCTCAAGTCGGGGCAACAAGACCATCGGCCCGACAGAGAAAATAGAAGGATCCGCCAGTCAGCGAAGCATCGAGCGCTCAAGCGCATATTTCGGTGCTATGGAGACTGACACAGAGTATCGCTCCCGCTCGATGTACTATTCGAAATCCGAGATTGACGCCCCTCCCACATTCTTCGTTCAATGAGGGCTCAGAGGGTTGGGAAATACCTCACAGGGCAACGGTATTCTTCTGGAAAATAACGCATCACCGAAGGTCGGCGATTCGATTCCGGATCATCCCGATGAGCCATGAAGACTCTTATAACTATTCGGCTTCCGGCAAGCCCTTGAATATCTATCCCAAGAACATGATGCTGAGTTCATCGAGGTTGGAAAGAGGGTAACATTGAAGCGAAGAGAATCGTATGGATGGTTCCCGATGGCAGCGTTCATCTTGGCTTTCCGACTTCCGCTCCATACATTCGTTTGCTGAGATACCTCCGGGGATCACGAGGTCGAGGAGGATGATCGGAGAAGGTCGGAGCCACACTTTCTCACCCGGTACCTGACGTGATTTATCCTCTTCCTGAACTCGGTCTCGTAACTTTCTTGTCAGCTCTCAGGCGTTCAGGATGGTTTCGCGAGCAGCCGCTCCCAAGGGACTGCGTCTCGCGAGAAAGGTGTTCCCTGAGCGAGGAACAGGCGAGCTCGCAGGCCGACAGGCCGGTCAAACAGCCGAATTACGAAGCCACCTAATGGTTTGATATCTGAGCGCACCTCGTTAACATGTCGCCCGAACCTGCAAGCAGCAGCAGCCCAGAGCCAGGACGTCAATTTATGGGGGAGCGCTAATGGTACCGACGATGGGATGAGTCACTTCCGACGAGACAGTTGAAACAGCTTCATAATCATGGTCTGTGGTATTCCGTCCGCGGGCTCTCCAGCAGTGGTAACGGTGACGGACGCGTGGTCGGAAGGTGCGTCGTCACATCTCGACCGCATCACCTGATTGTTCGTGTGGCGGAGAATGCATTTGATACAACGTAATCATCGTCGGCAGATTCTTCCAGGAATTCTCGGCTTGAGAAAGCATGCATGTTTTAGCAGGTGGCGATGACCCGCGTCCTCCATGCAAAACAGGAACGGAGCAGCTCCACGATGCGCATACGGTACGACGGTGTCCGCGATCACATGATGGGATTTCCGAAGATCCCTAGCTTGCCCTACACGTGTACGTTATCCGAGAAGAGAAAAAGCGGGAAGCGGACGATGAGGACCCGCATACCGAGCAAACACGCGCTACAGCGCGCTATCCGCTGGACCAGGTCGGAGATCGTCCGCGACGCAAAATGGAGGATTCTCTCTCGGGACTCATACACTCAGTCGCTCAGCCACTTCGCTCGTGTCCCCGCCGCCTCGCTCACTCTCGACACCTCTCCCGATATGACGGAAGACTCTCCGGTTCGAAGACGGAGTCTGCCGGGATAATGAGGCGGAGCCACCGGCTTCCGATAGCGACTCCAGCAGTTTCAGGGCAGAAGAGCGGATTCCCGTGGGCTCCATACGGAAGCGAGAGCTCTCCAGAATTTATCTCTCATCAAGATCTGTGAGTGCAGCAGTCCGGGTTGTTCCGTCGATCTGATACATATGTACGTCTTCTGCTGACCATCGTACGACCGTTATTCGAGCTCGGTGAGCGCCACTCGGTATCTGATCTCGGTGATCTGGTATTCAGCCGGTGCAGCGGGAAAGGATGCTGTACGCCACGTCAGCAAGGGTCACGGTGTAACGCATTACAATGAGCGTGAGCTCGATGATAGGGTCCACAGGTGAGTGTTAGACCATGATTTGAGCCGATAGCTGCGTGGACCCTGCTTGAGCCATGCGCGGCTTTCATTTTTAGCTCGCCGAGGCTCAAACCTAACGCTGTCGACCCGACAAGGCTTACCCGGAGCGGATATTCGCACATGAGTTCGAATATCTTCGTTGCGGCCGCGTGATTTTTTCTTCCCCGGTCGGTTACTTGCGAATTAAGACGAGCGACGAATTGAGCGATGGCTTTTCGGCATCTCTTGCGGTCTTCGGTTCGTGTCGCTTCTTCGCTGACTCGGACAGCGTAATTTGTCGCTCGGTTCGACTTATCATTAGTTAATGCCATTCTGAAGCAGACGGAATCTGGATTTCCGACGGTCTCGTCCGAGAGTCACTCATCCTGTAAGTAGGCCCCGGCGACGAAAGGCCAAGGTTGGGGTTGTAATCAGCAGGATCCGGCTAATCATCTCGGCGCTCACTTAGCGGGGCGACTCCGGAGCTCAGCAAAATCCGGTGAGCAAATCACCAAATTTAGACTCGCATAGAGGTTTCAGTCGATCAAACAGAAGGTAAACCGATCTACTTGCCAGATCTTAGCTGCGAAGCAAAGCGGATTACAAGCTGGGGAGGAGGGAAGGGTGGTGGTGAAGTAATCTATGCCGATCCCTTTCAAGAGCTATCCGACTTCTACAAGAATTAAGGAACTAGATGGTGTATTTCGCGATTTGGATTCTATTTGCGATCGATCCTTGCTGACGGTTCTCGTCATGGAATACGAAATGATTGCTTCTTGACCAAAACAGTTCAAAGTTGTTGAATCGGACGGCTCGATTCCGCTTCTTCGATGGAGAGAGCGGTCTCATGGAGGAAATGAGAAGCAATCAAGGTCCTCGGACTGTGTGCAGGGAACGCGATTTGCAGATCCGATTCCTCACTCACCGAGTGAGGGCTCCGGCGGAGTTCGCTCCCGGAACCTTCCGATTCGAGGCTTCACTCCATGGACCCCGAGCAGTCATGGTTTTACGAGCCCGAGGTCCACCGGGACCGTACAAGGCAGGAGTGGCTCTTCCTCTTTGAATTTGGACTTTTCTTTCTTGCTTGGGGTCCCATCACGGAGTGGGACGGGACTGACAAGAAAGGCACGGAATTTTTCGGGGAGGAACGATAGCGCGGACTGCGCGAAAGGCTGCCGAGAGAGTGAGAGTGAGTGGGGAAATAAGGTAACAGTGTGTAAGTAATTCGAACGATGTGAGGAATTCTTTTCGCCGAAGGAGGATGGGAGCTTTCAGTCGTTCGCCTGGTGCCGAGTTTGCTCCCGGGGCGTCGGTCCAGGTCAGCGGATAGAAAAGGACAGCGTGGCCGGAAGAAAGACATCATGGTGAGCGGAGGAAACTTACGACGGAACAATGGATGAAAAAAAAAGAAAACTTCCCTCGAGCCGGAGAGCACTTTCGCCCAATTCACCTCGGACGAAACGGCGATCGGGGCCATCTCGACCTCCTAAATCACTGAATTCCATCCGGCTCATATCGGAGAGAGGAAACTTCGGGATATCGCCACCGTTGTGCTGGAACCTCATTCTACGCGCTGCTGATTCCTCCGCGGCTCTTCCTTCCTCTCCGTAGCGATGCGATAATTCTTCGCGCTCAACTACACTCGAGGAATTCCCGTGATTCCGCACGCGAGTCCGTCGGAGTTTTATCCGCTGAGCGCGTACGATTCGATCAGCAGGTTGAGCGAGTTTTCATTGAAACATGCTAATGTCGACCTCCTTAGCATATGACTGGAGCGATCGAAATCCGCTGCTCCCACTCACATGTGACTGGGCAGGAACGGTGTTCGCTTTCATCCGGAAGCGATTCGGTTTTCGACTGCGTATCAGGATCCTCAGGATGAGGACGGGAGTCTCAAAGAGTCGAGCTTTGCGGACGACGATAGTAGATAACGATTTAAGATGGGAGGAAGCGGGGGACGAGGTACGGTATTTTCGGGAGAATCGCCGGAAGGATAAATCGGTCGAATAGAGCTACGCGGCCTATGACGGAGCTAGAGAAGAAAACGAGCAATTTCGGGAGTCGAGGAGACCGGGGGAACTAGCCCAGCCGAATGAGTATTCTGGGGAGATTAGGCGATGGAGTCCTCTGAGTGAGACAGACGTCGCAGCGATGAGCATACGGAGTCTGACTAGTCCCTACCTCAGTCGCTTAGGAATCGAAAAGATTGCACGGTCATCCGAGGCGCATCAGGGTTAACACTTCAAATGATTAGATGTGATTCGCGATTAGGCATAGAAACTGGCTCAGGCTCCACTTTCCAGCTCAGAAGGGAAGAGACGAGCTCCTGTCGCATGGAGTTGGCGATTGTGGAACTGACCGACAACTTCGTTGGACAGCTGAGAGGCACATTTATATCCTCGTGAAACGTCTCGAGCCCCCAGAATATACACTGTAAATCCTTCTCCAGGAGTCCTCACTCCCTTGAGACGAAATCTCTCGGTGCTCAGGCACAGCGATGCTGAAACTATGCGGAGCCAGGTATCTTCAAAGGATCTCTCGGAAGACTGAGATCCTCTCTCCGAAGCCATCGTGGGGTACTCCGCGAATTCCCATCTTGCAGACGCCCCGAATACCTTCTTACCTGGGCCGAGACTTGAGAAGTAAAATGGAAGAGATTGCGACTCCGCACCTTATCCTCATCGAACCGGGATTCTTGGGGACTTCATCAGGAGGATTCGAGCCCGAGGTAGTCTGCCGAAAATTTCGGTACACGCTGTATGCCGGATAATGCTCCCTGATAATATTCCAAATCACTGCGTCCGATATAACAACGATTCTCCGGCGCTGGCTTCCGACGTCTCCCCGAATTCAATCCCTTCGTCCTCGCATCCATCAAGGTTCGCTCAAGGTTGCCACGTAACAGGCCTGAGAAGATATCCATTGTGGGAGAAGAGGTCCTGAGAGTACCACAGAGGAACACGGAGGAACGCTCGACGTAAGCTCGGAAAGATTGATCTCTTTTTCGGCAGTGAAGGATGCTCCGCTTCAGACGAAAACTGCAGCTGCTGCTGCCGCCGCTACCCCGTCTGCCGGATCGAGAAACAATATCAGCCTGCAAACTTCAATCGATTCACATCGCATGTCTTGTTATCGCGAGACTGACGGACTCTCTCAATTTCATTGCAACATGTTCACCCCACGCTGGTCATCAACTCGTTTACGAAGGTGAAATCGGAGAGTGCTGATTCCCGATTTCCCATCGGCTCCCCCCTCGCGTCGACTCTGCTTCACCTGCGCTCTGATATCTGATCACTGATTCCGCGTCTTCCCAAGGCCTTGGAATGCCTAGCGTACGATAATCGTCACGGGACACAGCAGCTCACACACGTCGAACGGGCGAGATAGCGTCCATATCGGATGACGACAAACCGAATCCAAACCGGATGAGGATCGAAAGTACCCCCGTGCAGTCCAAGCATTTTCTATCCATCTATATTTTGAGTATATTCCGCGAAAAGAATACCCCGCATGTTAGGACTTCCAATAGAGCGTGCGAACCCCGCAACTGCGCCTCGTGGGACGCCACACGTCGCGGGAGGAGAAGTGCTTACACGCAGAAAGCGTGACAGAAAGTTAGAGGCTGGCCTGCGACACCGTCTTATCTCGCGATGATTCCCTTTGATGTCGCGCAGGCGGAGTGAACCTGCGAGCGGCCGACATCCAAGGATCGGAGTTGAGGACATTCGTCGGGGATAGCGAAACTCCGAACTTGCCGAGAGTGCTGCCAAGCGAGGCAAACATTTCCAGTGGTGCCTACTTCCCAGTAGTCCTGATGAGTCTATCTCAGTCGATGATATGCTCAAGAATCCGGTCCTTGGATGAGCAGGTACTCACCTGCGAGTTCCCGCCGCTTTTCATGGGAGAGCCGAGGGGATCGAGGTCATTTATCGCATGGAATCCACGCCATAAATCCTATAGATAGATTAATAATAATTGGTTCCAGTCACTTAGACTGATTCGTTCTGCTCAGAAGCAAGAGCCAGGGCACGAATTCATCTCCTTTCCATTCGATACAAGCGGTGGTAACAGGATAGTGAATCGAGCTTTTGATTGGCACCCAGAGAAAACCGATCACAAATCGCTGAAAGATCGTGGGAATCTCTCTCGAGAACTTCTTGTCGGCCCTCGCTTCCATTCATGGCAGGAATCGACGGATACCAAAACATTGGAAGCATAAATGGGAACATAAATTCACTGGGTACGAGCTACATGATTCTAGGAAAGGAACAAAGACCCTTGTCTGCGTAAGCATATCTGCCAGGACGGAGGTGAAGACAAATCCCCCTAGCTCAGCGGGGAAGTTAGGATACGACGCCGACGCTGACGCTACATCGATTGCCGAAACATGCTTGACACATCGCTGTACGCAAAATAAAATGCGGGAATTCTCAACTCCGCACCGTCAGTCACGGTGCCGAAGGTGCGATAGTTGGCGAGCGACGGAGGAACGCTATGGGACAAGCTGGATTGAGAGCATTATTTCTATCGTGATGAAAATCGGGGAAACCGCTGCCAACCAGCCAGCGATGTGTCTCTTCCTCCTCCCGAATTCTGCTCATTCCGAACGGCCGACCAGGGGCTCAGGATGGGTCGATGCATGGATTACCAAACACCTTCCAGGATACTCCCCATTATAAAGCGAACCAATGACGAGCGGGGCGAGAATGCTCTCGGGGCGATTCCGGGTCGCGAGAGTCGATTAGATCCGAATTACTCGTTCGGAAAAATTTGAGTGCTCGAATTTTTTTCGACAGACGCTCATTAGAGTAGAGGGTCTCAGGGTCATCGATGAATCTGGGATGGATGCGCTGAGGATAGTTCAGACATATCTAGGTCAACCACGAACAAGTACCCGGTAATGCAATGATTTGAGGGATCGAAGACGAGGCAGGAAAATGTCGGCTTGAGTGGTCATATGCTAATTCAACATCATCTCTTGAGCTTCCGACTCGCAGGGTTCTCTACAAGGAAATCTCTCGCGACGAGATCGGGGATCCGCTGTTGCGTTCCGGCCCTCCAATCCTCATCCATCCTGAGCCTCCGCTGGATGGATCATGGGTCATGTTACTCAACTGATGGGAAAAAGACGTTCCCTTGCGATATATTCGCGAGAAATCGCGTCCCCCCATCCGGACAGTGAGCTTGAGAATGGGACCGGAATCCGGGAACTCATGACTCATGATAGAGACATTGACAATGGCTCGAGTAGAGTATCGATCGCTTCGCTTCGTGGAAAATATTTGTGCGCTCTACGACCACAGTGATTCATTGAGGACTATTGCGCGAGTTCTGGGGACTCATCGGTGCGTCCGTTCGTGTCGAGGGCGTGTATTGGCGCCACTGCCCTTTCCAACATGGCGACTGATTGAGGCCTCTTTCCTAGCGGTCCGTGGTGCTCGCAGCCGCATTGGCTCAGCAGTAATCAGGCGTCGCGAGGAGCTCTCCTCAGTTCGAGATAGTCGGAGATGCAGCCGCGTTCGAGGTGCTGAAAAATTCTTTGGATATCAGTGGAAAAATCTGAAATTCTCGCGAATTTCGGGCCCTAGGCCCACCTTGATGCGTTAGTGGAGCTCCGAACGCTCGGAGGTACTCGGTGTTATAGTGTATACGACGTCCGTACGTCGACCAACAACAAGTGAACATCGACGGGAGCAGCATCAGGGAAAAAAATCATTATCGGAAAAGTAAAGTTCAAAACAAGACCCAACAAGCCAAAGTGATTTCATCATATCAACATGAAACTGGATTATCGTCTCCTGAGTGCCGTGGCACTTTTGTGCATCTGTCATTTTGGATTCTCCGACACACAGGTAAGTTGGAATCGCGTGAAGAATGGACTCCGCAGATAAATCACCGAGCCCAGATAGAAATGTGGTCCCGGCTTCCCACGTCACGCAGTTATCTAACACCCGCGGATCCGTAGCACAACTTGGTAAACCCTTACCCAGCAGCGACTTTCCCCCTTTGTTATCAGCAGCGGTCAGAAACCCAGAAGAACTTCAAGTTCCTCCCCGACGCAAGCAGCCGTCATCGCTGTCGTTTTCTGAGTGCTTCGACTCAATCGACATCGGTGTTCCCACAAACCACTGCCTGACCGTGGGCTTCCGACGTCTCTGCTCGTCACAGCAAGCGAATGGGCGAAGATCAATACGACCCGAACTGTGTCAGCCCGATGCCCGGGGGATCCATGAACAAATGGGTGGAAACGGGCGCCGAGAGAGCTCAGTCGTGTCTGGAACGAGCGAGATTTGAGGACCATTCGAACTCGTTGCTCGTATCGCTAATGTCGCCTTCGGAGGTGTCATCTTCGGCTTTCACCCTTTCCGCGAATCATTCAGGCACACCCCATTCTCTGAAGGGAGCTCTGTTTCGGCGTTGTCGTGGGTCGCCGGGTTTTGTCCTCCAATAAGTTGAAGGGAACTCCGGTAGTGGTCAGAAGTTGTCGTTGGAATTTGCGTTTCATACGGCTTCAGGGAATTCGGGCTCGCTGGTGGCGGAGCTGCTGCTCCTCCGAGTGGTTGAGAAGAGCACAAAGCGAGCAGAGCAAACAAGACTTGAGTCGGACGGGCCAGCAGCGAGAAAGCAGCAGCAGCAGGCGCAGCTCTGCGTGCCACCTCTCCAAGCCAACCAGAGCCGGTCGGTCGGTCCTCCGGTCGCTCTGTCGGTCGACCAGAGCCATCGGAATGTCGATTCCTGCCTGTCGTCTTCGGCAGTCCACATCTGAGTATGTTCGGGCTCGCGTGCGAAGACAGTCGTCCGAGCCGCAGCTCAGGCTCGGCCGACCGGCTTCATTCATGTTTCCTTTCGGGTGTGTGAGGCTCCCGGGTCTGGCGAGCGCGAATTCGAACCTCCGATCTGGTCCCCGAACATGCAAACGGGTCGCGATGGACCCACAGGGGAAAGTCTGGGCTCGAGTTGATGTCGCGGCGTAGTTTTCGAGTGAGTTGAGCAGTCGTCGTGCTTCTCGTGTCGGTGGTTTAGTTAGAGGCATAGTGGTTCGTATCACCGTCGCCGTAGTTGCTCTTGTCATCATCGAATACGTCGATGAACGTAGCGGCAGCGCCAAGAACAGAGTTCTTCTCGAAAACGCCCACGTTTAGCTCTTGACGATGGCGACGGCTACGGCGCCACGATACGAGATGTGAACTGCCACCGCACCGACGGGCTACAGTGGATTTTTTGTTCCAACAAATTAAGTGATTGCCTTTTAGCGGCTTCCCGCGTTTTTGTCGTCCTGGTAACGTCTGTCGACGGAACGGGTGTCGTCCTCGCTCGCTCGCTCGGAAAAGTGCCCGAAAGTGGACTCAACGATTACCTGAATTTCGCAACGGGAAACGACAGAATATGAAATCGGCCGGCTCGATAGGCGGTGCATGCATTCCGATCATGATTCCCACCGCTCGAGGTGATCATCGGACCTCGATGAGGACCACGACGAATGCCTCACTTTGAAGTTCCGAGAGCTTTCCGAGCGAATGGGAAGATTCTCTGTCCATAGCGTGTCTTTCCTCGACTATCTTCCTCCCTGTCTCGGGTAATCGCGGCGGTGCCGAAAATTGATTAGAGTGTCGTTGACGTCGCTTTTGCAATGGTGTACTCAACGAATCGGATGTCAAGATGGCGGCGACCGGGAAGCCCGGAGAGGGGTCCAGGAGATCTTTCTGTGCTCCATGAATGTCGATTCGCTACCGCCGCGTCTCGCGGCTCTAATGAGAGTGGAATCGCGACCGCTAATGGAGGCTCGTGCGGCTTCCTTTCGACCCCGATCGGATAAGTTCTCGGAATGCAGTTGTTACTCTTGAACCCGGGAACAAGAGGTAATGACGAGGGAAAAATTATTCGAGCTTCGATTCGAAGTTACTCGAGACGTCTCGATGGGCTTTCTGTGATGTTCATGCTTCTATTCGCGATGACCTTCTGATGAAAATCTTTGTATCGAAGAAAGAGTCTTCCCTCTCTCTGGAAAGAGAGGATCTGCCCCATGCTGATCCAATGATTACCACCATCATCATGCTGGTCGGAATGATCGGAATCACCACCACCGTCGCAATTTTCGCCGTCGGAATCATATCGTCTTCCCAGTCGTCGCTCAGCGGTCCAACGAGACAGATTATTATCTACCCTCGATGTATGAAAAAGGGCCCTGCCTCGCCAGGCTCCGATTGTTTTCCCGTTTCGAAGCGAAAAATAAGTAATCGATGACACCAGGTCGTTCCTGGCGATTGACGGCTCGTCTTCCTCGACATTTCGAGGCGAGTCAGTCCACCATGACAACATCTACCGCCCGATTCTGTCCGGGAAGAGTCGGGGAATGACATAGAACTTCCCTCGCAGGGTTTCGAGGGAGGAGCCTTCCAGGGAAAAGCGGAATTTCCAGGAACAGAAAGTAAATGTCGATCATTGTTCTATCCCCTTACAGAGAGGGAGAGAGACGAACCATAATCAGGCGGGGGCTTGTTGCAATATTCTAGTTGGGGCGTCTCTATGGTTACGGCTCCACCCGACTGCGTAGCGTTGGACTCAATGTACCTACTCTGATGGATTCTGCTGAGTGAGAGCTATGCGTCTCATGGCCACCACCGTAGGTCCAATGTGCTCTCTGCATTCGGACCTTCGGGTCGACTTCCTCGGGAGGAACGTCGGTCACGATGATCTCTCCGCTCTTCCATGAGCTCTCCTGTTCCTCCTCGTCCCTCAATCGATCCGCATCTTGGGTGTGAGTCGTATTGTATATGTCCGGAGCGATACTCCAGCGAACAATCTATGAGAGTACGTCCCTGGGGGGTACGCGACCTTATGCCTCGGGATCGATCGGACGGGCTCGAGAGCGAAGTCGGCAGTACGTCTTCGGAGGTCAAGCCCGCCGTACAGTACGCGGCTGGAGTTGGATATAGTCCTTCGGAAGCTTCATCGATCGCTTGACCAGAGCGAGCGTTCTTTTGTTTATCATCGGAAGTGCCTCGCGGCGGCTGTATCACTCGATACCGCTCATAGAAGCGTATACCCCACTAGGAGGAGCCCACTAATCAAATCCACGGGAGATGATAAGGAAGCCCCGCGGAAACGATAGTGGACGCGCCACTTTCGGTAGGGGCGCTTGCAGTAGAAGGAGAAGCGCATGACGTTTGATGATGGACGTTTCTGTGAGGCGGTCGGCGTTCTGCAACGATACGTCATAAGTTTGTAGAAGGAAACCGGCCGTCCATTCGCTCATTGGCCAAGTGGCCTGCCGAGGCAAGACAACTCGCCCACAGCAAGCCGCGCGGTCTCGATCGACGGCGATTCTGGAACTTTCAGCCAGGCGCCCGTGAGCGAGCTGGCCCGTGTTGCACGGCAGATTTCCGTGCATGCGAGGACTGACGGACGCAAAATCGTACGCCGTCGTCGTAGGCGCTCCGAGCCTGACAGGATCGACCGCGCTCGAAAGGCTCGACACAAGCGGCTCAGGTCCCGAACGACGCCGTAATTGAGTGGGCGGGGAAGTCGGAGCTCATTTATAAGATGTAGTGGGGTTTTGTCCGAGGGTATGAGAGCTAGGCGGGAGAATTTATCGGAGTCGTCGCTGGCCATCCGGCATCGAGGCCAGTCTCGATGCTGCTTGTGATGTTGGCGGTCACCGTCGCTTTTATCGCTCGTTGATTTGACAACTGTGCTGTCTATTCGAGAGGAAACGACAACCTTGGACAAACAAGCCGACAGACGCGAAGTCCTCCGCATCCTCGTAGTTCAACCGCCGTAATTGATCGTCGTCGTCGTCAACCGAGACGTTCTCCGAAACGGAAAGAGAGGGGATTCGGAAAAAGGCTTCGCTCTGCGAAATCGGGCTTGTAACTTTCTCTATCAGCGACATTCTCGCAACGGGGCTCAGAATCAGGGAGACTCGAAAAGTCCTCGGAAATTGTTCACCCAACGCCGTCCGAGGAATTCGTTAAACTCGAATGATGTTTATCGAGTTATTGTGTAAATTCGTCTTCCGGAAAACGCCGATGGCATAGCGGACGCCATGACAAAACCAGCGGACTAGGGTGTAGAGGAATGTTCGTTTCAACAATACCGGCTCTAGACTCCCGGATGTGTTCGGACGTCATGGTTTGTTTTCGCTAATCAAACGAAGGGTTGAAAAAATGCCAGAAACCGCGAACTGAGGGATCAGCAAAAGTAGTATTCGTGAGAAACTCGTTGTCGACTCGCTGTTTCGCTGAGTGCCAGCCGGGAGAGTTCTCTCGTATTCTTCGGACACAGACGGGCGCTCTGGCTTGCTGGCTGGCTCGCTCGCTTGCTAATTCCAATCTCACTCAGGTGAGAGATCGTCGACGGCGAAAAGAAAATGAGGGAAACGAGCGGACTCTGAGTTGAAGATATTCTAGCAGAGCAGACTCAAACAGTGACGTGACTTGACAAGCGAGTCAAAATTCTTTGTGACCGAGAGAGGGTCCAGGGGTGCGGGCCATCTTCGGAATTACCAGAGTCTCACCGAATCTCCATCTTTTCCTGAATGTTCCGAGCGTCCTGGCTTTGCCTCCGCATCGAGTAGGACGGCGGGAAGAGTAGATGGCAGAGTACACCCGAATGATGAATGATGTTCTCTGCTCCGGCTGATTGGTAACGCTGGCTGACAGATTCGTGGACAAATGCGACAAACAGACTTCCTGTGGAAAACTCTAAAAATGCTGCTTCTCTTCGACACGCTCAACGGAGACAGAAACGGCAATGTGAATCGGAGAGGCAAGCGACATGATTTAAGACTTGACTCTTTGGTTTACTCGCTGTCTGCCAAACGCAGCGATGCTGGTCTACCAGCTCGTTCGAG